TCCATCTCTGGTCACCGTACCCACTCACTCCACGATGTGGAAATAACGCATCTCAGAAAGGCCACTGTGCTTCCTGCCTCTGCCCAGGGCACCCTTCTCTGACCTCAGCCCACGGCTCCCCAGCCACCATGCCCCACATCCCCCGAGCCACCTTCCTTGATCCCCCCCCACCCCCCCGTTTTTAAATCTAAATAAAAATAAAAATACATTTATGATGATCTCTACACAAATAGACACACAAAATCTTTGTGCTGGAGATAACATAAATATAAACCAATACTTACGTGCAAGCTTTGGATCACTGGGATTTTTCCGGAATGCATTTTTCTCAGAATTTGCACATCGGAAGATTACGTATCCACAAACTGTAATTTTTTAAAACTTGCACGTTAACAATTTATATCGATATAATCAAATATTTAAAAACATTTGTAGTTTCACTTAGAAATGATTTCTATGCTCTGAGGAAGTTTCCAAAGGACAGGAATACTCTGAGAGGTTCTGAACTGTTCTTAACTCAATCTCAGAATGTCCAAAGAAGAGAGTGATCCTGAAAGTTCACCAGCCACCAGGGGAATGCAAAACCAATCAATACGGTCACATCCACAAATACAACCGGTTACAGCCCGGGCTGTAATTCCACCAAGGCTGGTGTCCAGCAGAATCAAGAAGACAGGGCAAGTCCTCTGGTGCCGTAGCACCTACGAGCCAGAACACGGACGCTGCAGGACTCAAAATCAATCAAACTGCAGCTCGGACCTGGTACCAGGATGACCTGCGCAGAAATACCCGCCAAGTCCCACCAAGAGCCTACAAGCTGGTTGGTTTATTTCAGGCCTCAAATGTCTCATCGGCCTGTTAACCACCATCTCATCCGGCCTCCACACAGCGCTGGGCACGGGGCGCTCACCCGTAAACTAGGCACACACCGCCCTGAGCAACGCCCGGGCATGGTGAGCATGGATAACCAAACCAATGATGAAACTAAATCTTAACCAACGTCTGGAATTTCTTCTGCCATGGATACTAGTTAGCGTAGGAAAACTCACTATTATCATATGAAGCTCCTGCTGATTTTCCCACCCTACCTCGGGTGCCGGCATTTAACAGTGTCCTAGGAGAAGAGCCGCACTGACGCTAGCCCACACCCGCCCATGATGCCCCTTGGCTCCCACCAAGCTGCACTCCCCACCCCTCCCAACCCTTCCCCACCCACTCACAACTGAGATCAAACACCCTATCCTCCAGTGAGTCTACACTGACTGATGTTCCCCAGAGACGTTCTCTCCACCTTCAACACGACCTTCCTTGGGCTTTAAGTCCCCCGCACATGTCTGAGAGCAGGCGGGCCTAGCACAGCAGGACCAACCTTCCTGCTTTCCGGGGTGCCCAGCAGAAAAAGCAGGCCCTGCAAAGGAAAAACCACTGAAGGATGAAGCATCCGTGCTCTCTGCAAGCGCAAGAATCTTTTTGTTTCTCACCCATCACAAACTACTTCAAACCTGAGCTAATTACGGCCATTTAAAAGGGCATGTCAGAACGTGTAGCTGCTGGAGCACGAGCGACTTGGTACACGGTACTGAACATGAGGAGGCTGAAATCAGTACTCACGTTTCAGAGCAATAATTAGAGAGGCCATAGGCCAGGACACTTCATTGGGATGGCTGACGAGATAAAAGGCTTGAAAGCTGTAGATAAAGGGAACCCACACTAAGTCTCCAAAAGCCAGCATGAATCCAAACCCATCGTGGGTGATGTCCATGGTCGTCAACAATGCTTCCTGCGAGGAAAGAGCCGGACAAGCCATTTTTAAAGACCTTCGGAGGATGAAAGCTTCTATGTTTCAGGTATACAAGTAAAGTACTGGTTTCTAGTCCAATTCATACAGAGCTATTGCGGAGGGGGGGGTCTGGTTCCCAGGCACGTGTCCCCCACCAGGTCACTCCGCCACCTCCATCTCTGGTCACCGTACCCACTCACTCCACGATGTGGAAATAACGCATCTCAGAAAGGCCACTGTGCTTCCTGCCTCTGCCCAGGGCACCCTTCTCTGACCTCAGCCCACGGCTCCCCAGCCACCACGCCCCACATCCCCCGAGCCACCTTCCTTGATCCCCCCCCACCCCCCCGACCAGACCAAGTGCTGCTCAAAGCCACACCTGCTCGCAGGCTAAAGCAAGTGTCCCGAACGGGCCCCACCACTCTCCACACCGGGCCACAGGAGGAAAGGCAGGGGCCCTGTGTGTCACCTCGTCCCCCCAGCACGCCGCTCGCCTGCTCTGCAGTAAGTGTTCTCCGGGTTTGCCCGAGAGCTTGCCTCTGCGCCCATTGCCCGTGTGCCCATCTACCTTCCGATCGCTATCTGGCTTTTCACGTCTGCCTTCCACGTGGGCCGCCTGGCCGCACAAGCGGACGTGCCCTCTGTGGGCCCAGATACGTGCAGGCCGGACTCCGGATGCAGAGCCACCACCGGGGTCAGAACTCAGGAGGCCCTGAGATTCCCAGACCATGGAAGAATGGCAAGTGCGCGCTCTGGGGAAGGATCGCTGGCCCAGGTTAGAGAAACAAAGTGGTCCCTCCAAAGACCGTTCTCCACCAGAAAGGCCACGGCACACGACAACGGGAGTCAGCCGCTCTCCAGAGTGCCCACTGCTGTGCGCACAGGCTCTCAGCCCGCCGGGTGATTCCTGGGCACACCGCTGACCACAGGGATGGGGGGACGAGCGCCGCCGGGGGCAGGCGTAGGGAGGGGGTCCCCGGGGCAGCCCCGCAGAGAGGCTGGGGAATGCTCACTTGTGTTTCATCACTCTTCTCGGTTCCTTCGGGTCCCCCAACCTAGTAAGGCGGTGGCTCAGCCTCCGCCCAGCGCCCAGCAGCAGCCAGAGACTGAAGGCGGCCCTGCCCCAAAGGCCGCGGGGCTGATGACGCATGGGGACGGCCTCCGCCCGACGGCGCCCCCACGCCCCTTCCCCACATTCAACAGCAGACGTAGCCACACATGCGGAACCTGTGAATCTCCAGCCACGTCAACAGGGACCGCCACCGCGGGTCAGAAAGTGGGAGGAGGAGAAATTAGAACTACTAATCACCAACAAGCTACCAGAAAGGAAGTGAAAAAAGCCTCTGAGATGATGAAGCAACAGGGAAGCCTCGTCCACCTTAGGCAACCATCCACCCGCCTCTGAGGGGCCACTCGTCACCCGACAGCAGGAGGCCACCCCCGCACGACCAAGCACGCTTCTGGGATCGGGGTTTTCTTCCAAAAGCATGTGGCCGCGGGCAGAGACGCGGACCGTTGGGGCCGTGGGATCTCAATGAAGAGCCGTGAGCTTGTAGCTGAGGCTCCTTGGCCTCCAGAGGCCCTAGCGCTCCCGAAGCCAAGGCAGATCACTGGAAGACAAGCACCGGGCTTTCCAAGTCGCTCTGACAGTCCTCTCGGCGGCCGGCCTGGCCACATACCCCACAGCCCGCGGGAGCCACCTCCGACTCCAGACGCCAACAGACCGGCGCGCGAACTGGCCCTGCGACAGGATCACGTCAGCTGCCAATTGTTTTTAAAACCGAGAGAAAACTCACCGTGAAATCTGGAGGCACAGATTACAAAGACACCAGGAAACTGATAACCTGGGTATAAAAAGGCCTGAGGAATACATTATTTTCAAGGGGAATCTCTTCAGTTGAGATGAAGAGTCTTCAAGGAGCAGAAAACACTGACGGCTTCTCAGCGTGAGGAAAGCCTCGGGTTAGGAACCTGGCCTGACTTAAGCCGGTTTCCTCCATTACCGGGACTTCTGACTTTCTATCCATCTGGCCAGAGCTATCTGTATTTTCAAACACCAACAATAACCGCCACCACCCCCAGTATGTAAAACTAGCCGTCTCTTGATAATCCAGAAAGCACTATCCTAATTCAATGATGATCTATCCATCTTTCATTTGATACAGTAATTAGGAAACTGAGACTTATTTATGAATCTATCACACCCACAGATCTCAAATACTTCGCACCAAGGGGCACTTGACACACACAGAGAAGCACCAGCAAATTCCCACACACTTCCCGTGCGTTAGCGCTCACCATGTCCGCTCTAGGGGCCGCAGGGACGCACACACCCAGTCCTCACCAGCCTGGGAGGGGTGCACCCCCCAACCCTGAGCGGGAGGCCGAGGCTCCCAGTGGTCAGGCAGGCCACTCGCCCGCACTCCAAGCCCCGACTCCCAAGGCCTCTGCTCTTAGAATGAATTACCTCGTTCCAGAGAGCATCCACCACGTACAAGAGCTGGAAACTATTAACCAAAATCATCGCCAAGGATGGAGCAGCTCGATTCTGTAGCTTCATCTCAGCCAAAAGCATCACCAAGTTCACAACCACCTAAAAGAAAAGGGGTGAGCACCATCTCAGAGTGTCTCCCCAGGCCCTCTGCCACCAGGGGGGAGACGGTCACCTCACAGCCAGGAAAACCACAGCATCCACCTGACCACTCAGCGACCTGCAGGGCCGAGACGCCAACACCACGAACCCAGGTGTGACGCCCCGGGAAGGACACACAGTCACCTCCGTGGGACACTTGTCAAAAATGCATCACTCACACCAATCATGACAAGACAGTGGGCCCCCTACATGGTATGTGACCAGCACACTGCAAGTGGCCAAGTCACACGAGCCAGGGAAAGACTCCAGGAGACAAAGCGGAGTCACAACCACGTGCCCTGGAGGCCTGTCCAGTGAGGGTCCTGGGACAGAAAAAGGCCAACAGTGGAAAAAAGAGGGGAAACTCAACAGGTCTGTGGAGTTAGCTGATAATGGGTAATCCGATGGCCCTGAGGCTCCATGGTTGTGCCCCATGTTCACGCGGGGGACGAGCAAGGTGCCGAAGGGAATCCTGACTCTGTTTTTGCAATGCCCCCACAGGTCTAAACTTAGGTCAAACTTGGTTTTGCTTTCTTTTTAAAGACGACAAGAATACATTTTTTCTTATGTGAATTTACCTACACTATGCGTTCCTGCTATAATCAGAATAAAACAAACCCTTAATGTTTCATGCCTGTAACAAGGGCATCTTAACCCTGTGGAGTCTATCTGCAGGCACAAAATACTTCAAATACAGATTTGTGGAAAGTTATAATTATTCCTAAAAACAAATAAAACTATTCCTGAAAACCCACAGTTTCCTTGAAATGATCTACAGTTTTTTCTAAATGCAAGACTACTGTGTATTCCAGAATTGAAATTTAAAGAGAAGACGACATACCCATCCGATCAATCCGGGGCGCAATTCACAAAAGTATTTGAGATCAAAAGTACCAATCCGAGGATTAAGTTCACGGCCAATGAAGAAATCATAGATGGCATTTCCTGGAAGGAGAAAGTTCTTACGCAAACAGTACGGCAATTGGGAGGCTTATAAAGAGCACTGCTGTCTGCCGTCTGGGGTCCCAGGCCAGCCCATCCAGGTGTGGCAGGGGGCAGCGCGGGCGGGTGCGCCAGGGAGGACGGCCGTGAGGACCCGTCTGGAAGCAGCAAGGCCTCGAGCGCCAGAGCCCGTGATTTTAAGGGAACCGGAGGTTTTTTAGTGATCTCTGTGACTTGGCTTCGTCTTTTTAAGGATGTTTACTACTTGAGACCAAAGGAGAAAATCATCCTAAACTGTGATGCTGATGTTAATAAAACATCGGTGACTATACGTTAAGTCACGACAACAAAAGGTCTTACTTGTCATCCCGTGACTGGAAAAGGAAGAGAATCGACTAGGAAAGGAGGAGGGAAATACCGAACATATGTTTTCCCTTTAAATGTATTTGCCTTTACATGTTTTCTCCACGCTATTCTTCCTTCCTTCCCCGGGGGGCCCAGAGCGGTGGCCGGGGGTGGGGAGCGGGGCGCTGCTCACCAGAGCTGGCGGGGGCCAGGGCAGCCGGGGGCGCCCCCGCAGCACGCACGGCCAGGTAGGCGCTGAGGGCCACGGCGAAGGCAAAGGCAGCCAGCACCAGCTGCAGGAAGTGCTTGTGCACGAAGAGCAGCGGCACGCCCCAGAACATGGCTGCCCCGACGGCCACGGCCGTCAGCAGGAGAGCGTAGAACCCTAAAAACAGGGCAACACAGAAACGTTAACGCAGCCGTCCCGAGATGTACATTGTGACACAGTGCGCAGCATCCACTCGCCAGGCTCACTAGCATCAGGACTCAGGCTCGGCACGCACGGCAGGTAACCTTCCGGACAGAGCCCAGCACTCGCTCGGCTTTTCCCATATTCTAACGTACTTAAGCTATTCTTGTGCACTACGAACAGTCATTATGCGCTTCTAATTAAGAGAAAGCTGAACGTGCACAGAAATTCACTATTAAAAAGGTGAGAAGGGGGTGCTTGGGTGGCTCAGTCATTAAGCATCTGCCTTCGGCTCAGGTCATGATCCCGGGGTCCTGGGATCAAGCCCCACATCGGGCTCCCTGCTCCGCGGGGCGTCTGCTCAAGACTCTCCCTCTCCCTCTGCTCCTCCCCCCAACTCTCTCTTTAAAATAAATAAATCTTTTAAAAATAAATCTTTAAAAAAATTGTGTTTTTACTTGAAAATACCTGATTGATAATGGTTTCAGAAGATCCCAGTTATATTCTCCCCCTAGAATACAGATCTCAGGACCCTGCCCTCAGAGGAGAGGAGAGGCTCACAGGGAACCCTGGCCCAGCCGGCCCTGCTCAGCTCACTACCCGAGCGGCAGGCTCTGAGGACCGCCTGCTTTGTCTCTGAGCTAAAGAAACAGCTTTTGCTTCCAGGAGCTGAGTGCCTACAACAGTAGTATTGATTCAGTCAGCAAGTTACATTTGGACAAACCACCAAACACAGAGTAGAGGTAGCTGTTACTTACCTACGAATTCTAAAATCACAGGTCTTGTAAAGCAAAATGGTCACCACGGTTTATTATTTAAATCCACATCCTCCACATACCAGGTTTAGTCCAAAGACTAACTTTTAGGTATTTTAACTTTAACTTTCTAAACCATTCATTTAACTCTCATAAAACTGATGAATATTAAAGGCCAAGGATAGCAGATAAAGCAGCTTCCTGCCCTGTAGCCCGTGTGCACTGCAAATCATCATTCGGAGTGTCTGGGGCGCTCCTCGGCTTTACGGGGCTGAAATCTCACGCCGAGAAATCTAATGCTGGAACCCGGCCACCGGATGGGGAAGCCGGAGAGAGAAGGGTGGAGCAGCTGATCCAGCCGCCACCCAGGCACCGCGTGCGGTCCGAGGGGACTGAAAACACAACCGCCTCGAGAAGAAGGAAATGAGTGCCCAGGGTGCCCCACGAACACAAGGCTCAACAGGCCCGAAGGCAACAATAACCCCCCGCCCACCTCTCCCCAGACTGGGCCCCGCTGCGGTGCGCACACGGTTCAGGCACCGAGCGCGGCTCCACGTTCTACACACCTCAAGTATCTCTGCCTGCCCTTCTGGAACCCAGCAGAATGATTCCAGACAGAGCAGGCACTGACAAGTCACAGGAAGAAGTACCCAAAGTGAGAAAGGTAACAGGGAATAGGATTCACAGGGCCAAGAATGAAAACCTACGATGGAACTCCCCAGGGCGTCTACTCACTCTTGTTGCTGAGGGACAACCACACGGTGCACAGAGCTCCTGAGAGCGTGTCCGCTGCACGGCATCAGGTCTTCGCGCGCAGCCTCCGACGCAGCGCGCCCTCCCACCGCGGGGGCCCTCCCACCTCCCACCCCGCTGCTCAGAGTCGGAGAGCACCTCCGGCAGGCCAGTCACCCTCCCGGCACCAAGGGGCCCAGGGGAACACAACCAAGTCCCCCAGCCCCAGGTTGTCACAGCCGCTACAGAGGAAAACAAACAGGAGAAAGGACAGAGGGATGAGCACCAGCTGACGACGGAAGTGTGGGATCACCATATTGTTCACCTGAAACTCACAGGACGCTATGTTCACTATACCGGAATTAAGATAAAAATAAGAACTAAAACAAGGGGCGCCTGGGTGGCTCAATCGGTGAGGCATCTGCCTTTGGCCCAGGTCATGATCCCAGGGTCCCGGGATCGAATCCCCACATCACTGGGCTCCCTGCTCAACGGGGAGCCGGCTTCTCCCTCTCCCTCTGCTCCCACCCGCCAACTCATGCTCTCGCTCACTCTCACTCTCCCAAATTAATAAAATCTTTTAAAAATAATAATAATTAAAAGATAAAATATAAAAAAGGAGAGAAAGTGACCCGAGGGCGTCCCTGAGCAGAGCGGTGATAGGGATGCCACCAGACACTCGGGGGCACAGTGTCCCAGCAGGAGACTGCAGATGCAGCCCAGAGACGCCCAGAGGCCGGTGGCCGTGGCTCCCGGAGCAGCATGGGACTTCCGGGCCTGGCCGTGCCCCGGGCCCCAGTGATAAAATACACAGACAAGTCCGATCGATTAGCCGTGGAGCCCACGGGCAAGAATGCGCGCTAGTCCCACCAGCGGCCAGTGGCTCGGACACGCGCAGGAGCACAGCACTCATGGGCTCTGGGTGATCATCAGACTCAAGCTTAAGGAAAAAGAAAAAAATCACCATTCAATCTATACTTGAGTCTTCTTCCATCAGTAAGAGGCATGCCTTCCACAACCTTAACAGAAAAAAAAAAAAGAGTTTTTTTAGTTTAAAGCTTTAAAAAGTCCAACACTCTAGCAACCTCTACATTTTAAATTTCGACATCTTTCTGTAGCACAGGCAGTGACAGGTTGTGAACACTGACAGGCTGGTGCACACAGACCCCCTCGGAGAAACTGCTCGGCCAAGGCTGCGCGACTGCCCCTGCCTGGAAACCGCCACCACCTTGTCCGCCTCCAGCTCCCACAACTGCAGGGACAAAGCACAAGCCCGTCGGCCCCACACTGAGCCCAGCTACCCTGGCCCACCTGCCGCGTGCGGACTCATCCCACAGACTCCCGTGCTCTTCTCATTACACAACACACACATGCGCACGCTCACTCAGCCATTCCACGGATTCTCCGTCTCCAGGAGGCGGTGAGCACTTCCGGGTCAGGGGCAGTCGTCTGTTCATCTGCAGTCCACCCCCACCACACACACACACACACACACACACACACACTCAAGAAACACACAGCTCCGTCGGGATGAGGGAAAATAAAAAGTCCACCTGCTCAATGGCAGCCACATCCTACCCCCCGAAACGACTATTCAGAAATGCTGCAATTCATAGGAGATAGGAAGCACTAACACGGTGTCATCTGTCTTGGGCCAGACTCCTCTTCCCTTTCACTGGCTACGAAAGGGAACCCAGGAGAAAGGTGAGGCCTGGTGGAGATCACAGCCTCAGCAGAACCCCGCATGCTAATTTCCAATGACCCCTGAAGGATCCTTATCTAACTGTACTGGGTCGTAGTCTGTAAATGCATGGAAATAGACGCGTACGTGTATGTCTGTAAAATCTTTCACCATAGAAACTGCATTTCTTATTGAAAGTCATCTAGTTTGAAGTAGGCTTATCTAAGTTAATCTGAATGTGTGTTTTTACTGTAGAGCTTTACCCTAAAAATGCCTGATGCGGGGGGGGGGGGCGGGCAAGACATTGTGCCCTCACAACAGAAACTTACCTTCCCGACTGGCAGTAAGTAGAACAGAGCCTGAAGCAAAAACCAGAGGAGGTAGACCCCAAACATTCTGGTTTCCCACAAATCAGACAAAGCTGGCAAAGGAGGCGGGAAATTCAGAAGACTGGGCTCTTCCTGTTTGCACATCAACAGCAAGAGGAAGAGGAAGGCAGGCAGGCCAAGCATGATGAGAAGCACACCTGCAAACGATCAGTGACCATTCAAGCCTCGAATTTCAGTCCGGTTTATCTAGTGCTTTCACTTGTTCAAGGCAGAGCCGAAGGCTGACTAACCGTCTGACCGACTGCTAAGGTGCCATCACCAGCTCCTCACCTCTATCCGTCTGGCCAGTGGGCGAGCGCCCGTGGGCCCGGAGACAGCAAATCAGCTGAGGTCCAGCACTGGACAGCTGAACTCCGCCTCACAGACCAGGCTCTAATACATTTAAAATCCAACCACCACGGCCTCAGACATGTGGAGATTCCAGCAAACTAGAGATCGGAACATCTAAAACTTATCAGCCTAATCATAAAAAAGCGAACAAACTATCCCTAAGTTTCCAGCAATTAGGACGGGATCCCGTTCACAGAGTGCGTGTGCAAACACAGTGATGCGACACCACCTCTCGCCACCCGACCAGCCCAGTTACAACTTACAGAACACAAGGCAATTTAGCCAGGGGTATTTTTCTTTTACTAGTATTTTCTTGTACATGAAATTTCATCACTTTCAAATTACTACCCACTTCAGAACACTAAGCCTTTGAACACTTCAGATCTTGGATGCTCACAGCCAACCTGTCGGGCAGGTCTGGCAGATGCCCTGACCCCATTCCGTGGCCATGGCCTCCGCCCACAGGCATGGCTGCACTCGGGCTCCGCCCCCTCGGGCCTCATTAGTCGGTTTTCCCGTCCCTAATTGTTCACCGTCCTCCGCATACACCTCCCACACCAACCTTCCCTTTACCTTCTGCATTTCTTTGTTCGAAACCTACTAACAGATTGCTGGAAGTTTTAAGTGTAGCCACACGGGCAACCCTCTCCACTCTTGGACGATCCTCAAAACTGCTCCCACAGCAGGACTTTCTGCCTGGAAGGCTCCTCCCCAGGCTCCCGCCCGGCTCAGGCCCGACCTGCTTCACACTCCTTCAGAGGACGGCCTTTCCTTCCCGCCACCGCCCTCCCCACGCTAAGCCCAGCGTTGCCGCCTACCAGGGACTCCGCCGAACTCCAGGCCCTTGGTCTGCAGGGCTGGCCCTTCAGAGGTTTTCAATAATGTAGACCCTTTTGTTGCAACAATGTTTTCTTCTTTAGAATCTATGTCTTTTAATTTGATCTCCTCTCTTCTTGGCCAAAGGCCATACTGTGTAGTTATGTAACTACTTTCTTCCGACAAATGGAATTTTTCCTAATTAAAAAACAGAAAATAGAAATGTTTACAGTCAATAATTATCATTGATGCTACCACATTAACTGATTCAGCATCTTAATATAATTATTTGTTAAATTAAATTCAGTCTTGATTTAAGGACACAATCTTAGATCATAAGAGAACACTATGGTGTTCAGTGTGACTCTTGAGGGACAGTCACATTTACAAAGAGGACAAGTGCCAGAGATGAGAAGGGCGCCCCGTACCTCAGTGTTTCTGTGAGGCAGGCCATCCCTCTCTGTGCGCTCGGGCTCCCCGTTGTATCTGCTGATGCTATTCCCAAACGGCTTCTAAGGTGAGGAATACAAACCATTGTAAACATAAGAATCGTACCTTATTAAAAAGACCATGGTGGCAGAAATTTCCTATTACGAAATCAAGCAATAAAACAAACCAAAGATTCTCACAGCTTCAATTCTAAGGGATTTCAGCATACTTTTGTTCGAAAGGAAAAGGAATAAAATTGATTAGAATTTCCCAGTCTTGGAAAGATTGGATTTTGCAGTATAGATCTCTACACGAGATCTTTCATCTTTTAAACATAATTAGACTGAGTGCTACAATGTCATTGTTCAATGGCAGATACTCTAATATTTGCTATGAGTTAGAGAAAGTAAAAATTGGTCAATTAGTTCACTGAGTGGTTAAAAGGGGGGGAGGGGAGACATTCACTGCCCCAAGTTAGCCACCAAGGGGAAATTAAGACATGGTGGGTACTTAGGGAGTGCCGCCAGTGACCTTGCTGCCCGGCTTCTACGGAGCCCTGAGCACCCCCTGCCTGAGTCCCTCTCCTCACACTCCTCAGTGGAGGGAACTTCGCATCGGACTGAAGCGGGGAAGTGTGTGAGCTTGCAAAAGATTTTTCAGGCAATGCATGGCTGAAATCTGTCACTTTGCTCCTTTCTGCATCACTGACAAATGAGAACACTAATAAACCAAGAGGAGGAAAGCAAGTTAAAAATGTCCTGGGGAGGCCCACCGGCAAAGGGCCGTGTGAGATAGTGTCAAGTTCTAGCTCAGAGCAGTCAAACTGAGCGGTGCAGAACAGTCAACATACACTGAAGTCTGCCAAGGCACCAGTGAGCTACTCAGCAGCACATGGAGCTATGGAAGAACCATGCCCTCGGGGCGCCTGGCTGAGATCAGTCTTTAAGCGTCTGCCTATGGCTCAGGTCGTGATCCCGGGGCCCTGAGATCGAGCCCCGCGTCAGGCCCCCTGCTCCGCGGGAAGCCTGCTTCTCCCTCCCCCACTCCCCCTGCTTGTGTTCCCTCTCTTGCTATGTCTCTGTCCCATAAATAAAATCTTTAAAAAAAAAAAAATACCACGCTCTCCGTGCTTCCAACGTCCGCCATATAATCTATAGCAACCCTGTGACCCCGTGCCACAGCTGGTTGGCCAGCCCCAAACCGTGCTGACTGCAAAGTGACAGGATGCGCACACAGGGAGGCGAGTTACTGCAAAAGGTCACGATCGGGCAGCCACGTGACCGTCAAAGCTACACGCAGCACTGTGGGGCCCTTCCCATGCCACACAGCATCCTCAATTCCAGGGTGCGGACAACAGTGGCCCAGGGCTCTGCTGGAGGAACACAGCCAGTCTGTGGCTCTTGGGTCACCAGGACTGCAAGAAGGTCACACTGTAAACACAGAACGGGCACCAGATGCTAAAAATGAAAAAGTGACAGAAAGCAGTACGAAGCACCTGCTCCTTAACCTGAGTCCGCTGACTGGGCCTCAGAGCCGCCAACAGACGGAATGGTCAAGCTCACCAGCAATCACCAAAGGCAAGGGAAAGCAGTGAGCTGACAGTCTTTGGCAATCAAATCGACCAAAAAAATTATTATTATAATTCTCAGAATGAGAAAATGGGCATTCACACACTACGGATATTGGCAGAAACCTTCTTGAGGCAATCTGGCCACATGCGCTCAAGCCTTAAATCTGCTCAACCGTCCAAGCTGGCCATTCCACTTCTGACTAAGCACTGATCTTCAGAAAGTATCAGATGTTGTATAAGAATATTTGTTTACTAGACATGAAAAAAGCTAAATACCTATCACTAATAAGGGAGCTGATGTGAACAATCAAATCACATTTGTACAGCTTACGGTACAGCCAAACAGTTCCATACAGCAAACGATGTACAAAAATATAGTGCAGTTTATTCCTAATATTTTAAAATTTAAAAATCTGCCTATAAAACAGTGTGTACCTAAATCCAGTTTTTTAGGATTATTAAAAATCTGTGTGCATTTTATCCAGTAAAGAGATCATATAAGTGAACAGAATAAAAGATCATCTTCATTCAATTCTTTTTCTTCAAACTCATTTCCACGTGGCGTACCACCTACGATATCCTTGTGCACGGGCCTACAGGTTCTGGCCACCGACCTTTCCAAGCTTCAACTCAGAAAGTAATTCCATTAAAGTTATCATCTTGGAATAGGACAAGTGATCAAGTATAATGATGCCAAGAAACCAAGGGTATGTTTTTGTAACACACAGTTATGTTTCCTTATTTTATACATGAACTTCTATAAACTATAAAACTTTTTCAGTTCAACCTACAATCTATATCTATATGAAATTTAAACACTGCCTTTTTTAAAGCCATGATATTAAATAGCACTCTTGTAACTTGGCATTCTTTTTCACTGGCATTTAAAAATATTATACTTCCTATTCTTCCATTGGTTTCCGTAACCTTCCAAAGTCAGCACTGCGACGCAATGCTTCACCTGATCCTTCACTATGACTCACTACGGTCTGAGTAAACATGCCCACGAAGGGGAAGGCAGTTTGACCGAGCCCAGGACCAGGGTAAGGGCCTCCCGCGAGCCCTGACACACTCACCAACACCAGCGGAGTCAGCTTCACTTCCAGTACTTCCTTCCTCATTTCCTTAATGTCGGCCCGGTGCGAAGCAGAGGCAGATCGGCGGGAACTTCTAGGTGGTCGACCGGGGGATCGGGAGCGTGACCTTGACCTACTCCCTCGGCGTCTGGAGGGAGAACTGGAAGTTGAGCCACTTTTCCTTTGTCTAAAGGAAGTTAAAGGCTAGAGGGGGACAAGAAGACACAGAGCTTTAGCACGACACGGACCTGAACGAGAAGTGGGCGCCAAGGCGTGCCCAGTACCATCGACTCGGCGACCTCCCCGGGCATCGGGGCAGCCGGGGGCTTGGCGACCTCCCTGGGCATCAGGGCAGCCAGGGGCTCGGCGACCTCCCCGGGCACTGGGGCAGCCGGGGGCCTGCTGCACCAGGCCAACCGGACGCTGCAGCAGTGGCCCACCTCCCACGGGACACGTGCAGCCCTTCCACTCCTGACTCTTCTCAGAAGGTACCGCCCCAGAATGGGTGCGTCCGAGCCAACTAGCCGTGCACTTTGCCAACAGCACCCCCAAGAGCAGCTGCCAGACACCGAATCAAACCAAGATGAGGGGACAAGCGAACCACATACGGTAACAAGAAACTGAGTCCCACAGGTGCGCTCTCAACATCTGGAAAGCGGGGCGCAAGGCTGGGTTACTTATGAGCAACATCTCGCTCTGCCCTCTTCTCTCCCACCTGATTCTGTGTGGCCCAGGAGCTGAGAATGGCTTTACATTTTGTAAATGATTGCAAACAAAAACAAAAGAAACATGAAAATTTGTGACACATGGGAATTACTTGAAATTCTCATTTCAGTGTCCATAAATAAAGTTTTATTGGAACACAGCCATGTCCACTCACTTCCAGACTGCCTCGAGCTGCCCTCGCACTGCAGAAACTCTATGGCCCGTAACGCCTACAATATTCACTATCTGCCCCTTTGTTCAAAAGCTTTGCCAACCTCAGGCGAGAGTACTCAAACTGCGGTTCAGAGGCTATGGGTTCAAGAACTGTTTCTTACTGATCTACAACAAAAAATGAAATTGAGACTAGACGTGTAGAAATCCTCACAGCATTTCGACATAGCAATTTTACACCTGTTGAATCTAACACTACAAAGTTAGGGCTTTTACTGCGTGCATTTCTTCCAAGCGTCTAGTAAGTCATTTATGGTATTTTACGTAAGCAATTCTACACCATGGCCCAGATCATTTAAAGCCCGGGCCCCCACCACAGAGGCTGAGAAGCCCTGGGCCAGACCTATCTCTAGTTAATGTCACTCTCCTGATGAAATCCTCAGTGGTCAGGACGAAGCCCAAACCTCTCTGGTTCTGCTCCCATTAACCCTCGGCTGGCCCTTGCCCACCGCGCACTTGGCCATCCCTGTCTGCCACCCCCCCCCCCCGCGCCAAGCCTCTGGCCAGAGCCATTAACCTCCATCCCCAGAGTTTTCCCCATTTGGCCTCAGCACCCACCCACATGTCCTCTGCAAGCCCTCCCTGAGACCCAGCACCACCCACCAAACTTCCCTCCCCGAAGGCATGACATCAGGGACATGATCACACAAGGAGGTCTTTTCCCAGAACTGGGAGCCTCAGGGACCAGGACACCGTGCTGTACACGTGCCTCCCCACCCCAAAGCCAAAGCGCGGCCCCACCACTCCACACAGAGCCAGAACTGACCACTCTACACCTAGAAACACACCACTAGCTATTTCCCTGCCTATAAACAGACTCTGGCAAAGCAAAGGAGCACTTACCTTGATATCATTCTCCTTCAGTTCAAGTTCAGTGCCATCTTTGTACTTGACGGTGTAGAGCTGGGAGTCGCTATCATGACTCAGAATTTCGACTTCATAGTAAAGCGAACTTCCAGGCCACCGTCCTCTTACCACCTCCCCGTCAGCAAATTTCCTACTGGGCATTTTGAAAAATCAGCCTAAACAGTTTAAAAGAAAAAAACAAGGAGTCACTGCATGTGTCTTTTTTCAGAGACTGAACACTAAAATACAACTTTCCAAAGTATTTAACTGGCAGAGATTTTAGGACCAGAAAGGCCTTTGGGGGGGTGGGGGGAGGGGGAATATCCAACCCCTTAGTCCAAAAGTGAAAACAAAGTATAAAGATATTAACCAGTTTTTCCAAGGACATAAAAATAGCAGGAAATGGCAGAGTAGGGACGCACAGAGGCTGTTCTTTCTGCTAGGGCATATCTCATCTGCAGTCACTTTACCCAGGATGATCTCACCACTGTGGTACCTGCCGGTGACACGAAGATGCAGCAGGACAGAAAGGCACCAAGTGGTTTGCACTCTGCAAAATGCTATCACTCGAGTGACCAGATTTCTTGCTATTCAACAAGGCAGTCACAAAGGACCCACTTCCTGATTTATAAATCCGCACACGGGGCACCTGGCTGGCTCGGCCAGTACAGCATGTGACTCTTCGTCTCTGGGTCAGGAGTTCAAGCCCCACACTGGGTGTAGAGCTCACTTTAGATAGACAGATAAATTTGCATATAGTCTTACAAAGGCTTTAAAAATGTATTTAATTTTTAACACATTACCTCTATTAAAAACAATAAACCCTAAGAAACAGCCATCTGGGAAAACCAAGGATGTATAATTTACATTACTATAACCCACCAACAAGGAGAAAAATAATTCCAAACCCATACAAATAGCAAATTTGGGGTGCTTTCATCAAGTTTTCAAGTCTTAAAGCTAAAATCCCAAATGCACACCAGGCAAGTCCGCCAACCACACGCGGCCTTCGTCCTAGCGGCCCTCTCAGGCCCGCAGCAGGCATCCACCCTCAGTTACAGCGTTCTTTCCCACATGGCCCCAGAGCCGCGCTTCAATGGCACTCCAAGAAACCACACGCAGCCCGCAGGAATGACCGCTTACGGGAGGCCTGCTGGACCCCCTTCTTCAATTATCGACTGGTGCTGAGTGCTTCCAGCTCTCGGGCAGCAAGCTTTCCCCGTCCACCGAGCGGCAGAGTCCCACTGCCACGTGACAAAACCGGGCGCCTCCCGCCTTCTGCACTAGCTGCTGAACAAGCTGGGGGCCTCGTCTAAGAAGAGAAATGCTCCCCAAATCACCTTGCTCCAGCCACCTGCTAGATGGTCCGGGCCCGTAAGCACGCCTCCTCACCCCGCTGCCGTCAAGACCCAATTGTACAACGCCATGTGGGCAGCCCAGCAGCCCTCTGGAGTTAGGAAAAGACAAAGCGGCATTACCCCACCCCTCCGAGGGCAGACCTTTCATAAACACATTTCTTCACTGTTCACTGCCTGAGAAAATACTTCACAAACTTCACTTGTTTAGAAAGATAGGAGCTGGGCTGGGAGATGAAAGCAAACCCAGCCACTTATCCAGTGATTAGAGGGTGTCAGCCCGTCACACGTGAGCGGAGAGGGTGCTCTCTGCCCGCGCCCACCTGAGACAGCATCGTGGGCTAATGAAGGAGTGTGGGCTAGGACAGGGGGAGAAGAGCCAGAAGCTTCAGGGTGAAGTCACACCTGGCTGAGGCGGCACCCGAGGGGCACTTGGCAAGCAGGGGGCAGTGGACCGCTTGAGCCATGGAGGAGGGGGACAAAAAGGAAGGTGACAACAGCAAACCTTGCCGGTTTCAACATTCAGGTCCCAAAGCCTCCAAATACTAAGAGGAAGGAAATGTGCCACTCTTCTCTCTTCTCTCGTGCCCCTCCTTCTCCCGGTACCCCCCAAAATCAGACCACTGTTACTGGTACTGATGCTCTGGGGCTGGTCAACCAGGTTTGAAAGAAGACCACTGTATCTTGCTACACGAAGATGCCATCAAGTTTCAAACAACAACTCTTCAAAGACTGGAAAAAATGATTTTTTAAAAAGCCCCTGGAGCAGATACTGCACCTTGCTGAACATTTGCTTACTGCCATCTTTCGGTTACCCAATTAAATATTTTGGGTTACATAAATTAAAATACGTGGTGGGTATCTGTTAGGTCACTAAGTTTTTTTGTTTTTTTTTTCGGACAGCCACATGCAGAAGAATGAAACTGGACCATTTCCTTACACCACACACAAAAATAGACTCAAAATGGTTCAAAGACCTCAATGTGAGGCAGGAGTCCATCAAAATCCTAAAGGAGAACACAGGCAGCAACCTCTTCGACCTCAGCCGCAGCACCTTCTTCCTAGAAACATCGCGGAAGGCAAGGGAAGCAAGGGCAAAAATGAACTATTGGGATTTCATCAATATAAAAAGCTTATGCACAGCAAAGGAAACAGTCCACAAAACCAAAAGACAACCGAAAGAATGGGAGGAGATATTTGCAAATGACATCAGATAAAGCTAAGCTTAATTTTTTAAAAAAGACAACTGTGCATCGGGACTTCACAGCGCCGCTTCCCACGGCGGCTGAGGAAAGAAAGCCCAAGCCGGCCTCTCCTTAGGAGACCGCTGTGGTAGCCACAAATGTTCCAGAAGATGAAACCACAGCATTAGGCTCCCCTCCACTCTGCCCAAGCTCCTCCCACACTTGTGACCGCGGCCACCCTCCAACAGAATCTCCCGCGGGAGCGAATGGGCCGAGATGGGGCACACGGGCCCCACTGCCACAGGCACCCACCTGATGACGTCCTGCCCCACACGGAAAGGCCTCCCTGAGGGTGGAAAGGAAAAGCTTGTTTACTGAATACCAGCACGCCTCTTCCTCTGAGGCCACCTACCTGCTAACTTGCTGTCACTACTGGGATCCTCACACATTTGGGCTCCGCTATGTTACTCTTTATCAACACCACAGAATGCTGCCCATCAGAGAGCATGGTGTTCCAAGTGCCTTTGGTCATCTTTCCCTCACTTTTCCAAACCAGTCCAGATACGGCAGAGAAAGGGAAGCTCAAAGGAAGTCGGACCGCTCCCCTTGCACACCTGGGCCCAGGGCCCCGAGGCCAGCTCTGCAAACGCCCGGCCTTGCACCCCGCCCCGCCCCGGCGGCAGGATGCCGGAGGATGCCGAGGAAGCAGCACCGCCCAGGCCGGCCCGGGCAGACCGCCCGACCGCCCTGAGTAATTCTCGAGGCGCCAAGGTAAGGTCCACTCCCCTGCGACTCGCTCTTGGCCCTCCTCCGCAGACAGCTCCCGCACGCCAGCTCGAGCTGCGGGTGCTCGGTCCACACCGGGCCCAGCTCCGGCCCCGCAGCGCCCGGCCTCCCCGCCACAGCTGCGGCCACGAGGGGCGGGCACCGGCACACGCGTGCACGCGGCGCGGGGCTGGCGCGGCAGGTGCTGCAGGTGAGCGCGGCCTCGGGGGCCCTCGCGCGGCCGGTGGGGGGGTCCCGGAGCGCCCCGCCGTTGGGAGCAGTCCTCCCGGGCCGGGCCCTCCGCGCCCAGCCCTTAGAAGTGCCCCTTGAGGCCGCGGACCGGTGTCACGACGAGAACTTTTTTAAAAGCCTTAAAACGGTGAAAACACAGGCTCGAGCGGGCTCAGCCCGCTTCACCATCCGCTTTCAGAGCGTGGGAGCCCGGGCCCCGGTGACAGCGAGGGCGGACGGCAGCCGCGCCCTGTCCCCGTCAGCGCATCCCCTCCCCGCGTCCCCCTGAGCCCCCCGTCCCGCCCGCCGGCACCCCGCATCCCCGCGTCCGCGCTCCCCGCATCCCCGTCAGCGCATCCCGCGTCCCCCCGCATCCCCGTCCCTGCCGCGGCCGCACGCAGGGGCCCGAGTCCCCCCACCGCCGCCCTCCCGGCCGACACCGCCGCCGCGCGCCCAAAATGGAGGGAGGCGCCGGCGATTTCCACCTCGGCTACACTTCCGCCGCGGCCCGGCCGACCCCCTGCAGAGGCAGCCGAGGCCGCGCGTCCCCGGCCCCCCCGCCCCCCGGAGGCCGCGCCGCGCCGGGCGGCGGGCACGGGGACGCTCACCTGCGCCGGGCTCCGGCGGGACGCGAACGGCTCCGGGACAGTCGCCGAGCAGCACCCAGCGGCGGCTCCGCGCGCACGACGCCGCCCCCAAGCTCC